CCCCTTGGAGAGAAGGAATATCCACCTGCTTTCAGCAGCCTCTCCGTGATGCTTAGAGATGTTGCTCAGAATTGGAAAAGCAGCCCCTCCCCAAACCAGCCCAAGGCCCTCCTGCACCTGCAGAGCTCTCAGCACACCTCCCCTGCACCCCCAGGTGCAGGCGCGCTGGTGTTGAGCACAGGGCCTGGCTTCCTGTTTGCTGGCTGCCCAGACTCCCTGCTGCACAGCCTGGCACCCCACCCACCTTCCCCTGGCCAAGGAGGGGCCCAACACAAGAGGGTATAGAGAGAGAGGCCTGAGAAGTGGACAGTAGCAACAGAAATCAGACCGCACCCATCTGCCTGAGTATGATGTGAACAGAGGGAAACAGCCCAGGCTACTGTTTTTTTCTTTGTTTGTTTTAAAATATATTTTATTGATTTTTTTACAGAGAGGAAGGGAGAGGGATAGAGAGTTAGAAACATCGATGAGAGAGAAACATCGATCAGCTGCCTCCTGCACACCCTCTACTGGGGATGTGCCCACAACCAAGGTACATGCCCTTGACCGGAACCGAACCTGGGACCCTTCAGTCCACAGGCCAACGCTCTACTCACCGGTTTCGGCCTTATCTGTTTTTCGAACGTATGTATTGATCTCAGAATGGAAGGGAGATGGAGAGGTAGAAACGTCAATGAGAGAGAATCATGGATCGGCTGCCTCCTACAGGCCATTCGTGGGGATGGAGCCAATGACCTGGGCATCTGCACTGGCCAGGCAGGCCCTGTCTGTCTGGAGGGCTTTAAGTGGTGGCCACGCAAGCCGCTGAGCTAAGTTAGCGATTCTGCCATCAGCAGGTCACTGTATTGTCAGCAGCACCACCCCAGTAGCGGGAAAGAAGACAACATAAACCTAAAACTGCCCCATCTGTTGTACACGTGGTGCGAGAGTGTGAGGGTACAGCCTCGTCTGCTGGGAGGAGTGCACCTACTGACAGGTATGGGACTTGGCTGAGCCCCGTTCCTTAACAAGGAAGGGGTGGGGCTAAGAGTCTGCACTGGGTTTGAGGGCTGAGTGTAGGCCCCTCAGTCCCACAGTCACTTCCACTGATGTGGCTCCTGGAAATGAATGGCTATCTGGACAAGCTTTTGTTCAACACACAGTTCCTAAAAGATTATAAGTGAGCCGAAACCGGTTTGGCTCAGTGGATAGAGCGTCAGCCTGTGGACTGGAGGGTCCCGGTCAAGGGCATGTACCTTGGTTGCGGGCACATCCCACTAGGAGGTGTGCAGGAGGCAGCTGATTGATGACTCTCATTGATGTTTCTAACTATCTCTCTCCCTCTCTGTAAAAAAAATCAATAATATATATGTATATATATTTTAAAAAAAAGATTATAAGTGAAAACTAACCATTAATTCTATGACGGTCTATCTACATCTCTAAAGTGCATTTTGTTCCCATCAGCCTAAGTATAGAAAAGTGATATGTTCCTTTTAGGGAACAACAATACGTTTATTTTATTTTGTGAAGTCTCACCTAGAGAGCTCAGATCAGGAATCCTCCCCACGTCTCCCCTGGCAGGTCTGTCAGTCTGTCCCATCTCCTCCTTCCCCAGCCTCACTGGCAGCCCCACACACCTTGTTCCTCAGGTTTCTGGGCTGGAAAGCCAGCCCTCTCCTGGGCGGCTCGGAAAACTACATTTCCCAGAGAGCAATGCGCCAGTGCTTCCGGTCAAGGCGGGACTTCCGGATTCTTCCTCGTGGCGGACATTTTTACTTCTCCCAGTTCTACCTCGGCTCAGGGGCTTCACCGCGCCGCTCGCTAGGAGGAGGAGGAGGCGTGGGGGGCGGCGTCCCGCCGGGCAGGGTGTCTGAGGCGGGGGGCCCCCACCCGGCGGGACTGGGTCCCCGGGCCCCCGCCTCCTCCCGCGGACACAGCGGCCCCGGCGGCCCTCCCGCCTCGGGGCGGCGCCGCTCAGGCCGCAGCCCAGGCCGCCGCCCGGAGCAGTGAGTGCCCGTGGGGGCCGCAGGGGCGGGCGGGGCCCGGGAGGCCGGGGCGGAGGGGGGCGGCCGGCCTGTGTGTCTAAAGGGACCGGGGCTTCCGGGAGGAGCCTGTCCTCCTCAGGGCCGGGCTGGCTGTGCGCACAGAGGGACGGAGCCCGAGGGGGCGGCGGCCCCGGCCCCGGGGCTGGGCCAGGCCCCGAGCAGCCTGGGCCCCGGGTCCGGCGGGGGAGCCGGGCCCTCAGCGCCTTCAGCTCCCACAGGCCCTGCGGTCAGAGCCGCTCGGGGGCCGGGCTGTGGGCTGAGGTCAGGGCCTCCCACTGCGGGGGCCTCAGGCTGTGGGGCCTGGGCTGTCCAGCCGCTCTCCTCGGGGGACCTTGGACCTGGGGACCTGGAAGGGACACCAAGCCCAGAATGCTAAGCCCAGGTCAAGGGTCATGTGATTGGGACCTGATTGTGTCAGCCAGTGGAATTGTGGGTGATGGGGCCTTCCATGCATTGATTCCAGAAGGTGCCAAGGCTTGAAGTGAACAGTAAGCTGATTCAGGACCGAGCAGGTGTCCAAACGGGAACTGGCAACAGTGGGACAGGAATCCAGTCCAGAGGAGCTTTGGGACAACTGGGGTTTCTGTTCTGCTGGTGGTGGGGTCATTGGGGTCGTTGGAGCAGAAGAGCAGGGGATGTGTCCCAGGTCTCATTAGACTCCTGTGACTGCAGCATGAGGCACAGCATGGGTGCGAGGACGGGGGTGAGACTACAATGGAAGCTGCTGTGATGGCCTTGGTGAGGGGGATGATGACGGGAGCCCAGTGGAGGTTGTGGATGTGGAAGAAGCAGTTGCCTTAGGGATCAGTGATTTAGGTGTGGCCACCTGGATTTTCTAATTTTGAGGATTGGAGAGAGAGGTAAGAATCAGAGATGATGTAAAAGTTTGGATTTAGCATTTGAAGGTATAAAAGCACCGTCAACTGACATGGAGAAATTCATAGTGGGAAAAGTAATGTTCATTAGGGATATGAAATATTTTAATTTTTCCTTATTAGGGTATGGGATATTTCAGAGACCAGTTCATGACCATCTGGAACTCTGAGGAGTAGTTCAAAATGAAGACTACTAAAAAAATATTAAAGACTGTGGAGCAGGGAGGAGTTGTAGAATAGATCACCTTTTCATTTTATTTTATTGGAGGTAGAAGAGTAATTCAAAAAAGGTGAGATGTGGCCAAAACCGGTTTGGCTCAGTGGATAGAGTGTCGGTCTGTGGACTGAAAGGTCCCAGGTTCGATTCCAGTCAAGGGCATGTACCTTGGTTGCAGGCATATTCCCGGTAGGGGGTGTGCAAGAGGCAGCTAATCCATTTCTCTCTCTCATTGATGTTTCTAACACTCTATCCCTCTCCCTCTCTGTAAAAAAATCAATAAAATATATATATATAAAAAAAGAGCTGGTGCATATTTACTTCTTAATCACTTTCCAGGATTTCTTGTGACCGTTTGTGTGGCCTTGTGTGTTGCATCCAGTTTGGTTAACTTGCTTATGGGCCTGAGTGGGCAACTGTGGCACTCACTGGGCATGGGGTAGAGGGCCATAGGCAGTGGCACTTGAGTCCTTAAGGCTGTGAGTGGAGAAGGGACATCAAGTGCAGCAGCAGTAGACGTGGGCTCTGGGTAACTGAGATCTGATGTGGTTCTCAATAGAGGAGGTTGAAGAAAAAAGTTGGGTGGGAGGCCTTTATAGCAAAACTGAAGGCTGTGTCTTGGGTGTGGGCATTCAGAGTCAGGTTACTACTTGATACTGTTTGAACTTGCCATGAATTCTCTGGAACACACATGCTGAGGTCATATTACAAACAGTATCTATGATCTAATGGAACACACACGCTGAGGTCATATTACGAACAGTATCTTAGTCTAATGACTAAGACCAAGGAGATGTCTATGGGAGATGGGGCTATGGGAGTGCAGGTGTGAGGAAGGTGTGGGGAAAGGAGTGATGAGTTCTTGGAGAGGGAGTGTGAATTCATGGCCATAGATCCCTGATAATGACATAGAATGGATGCTTAGCTGAAACTGGTTTGGCTCAGTGGATAGAGTGTTGGCCTGCAGACTGAAGGGTCCCAGGTTCGATTCCGGTCAAGGGCATGTACTTTGGTTGTGGGCACATCCCTGGTAGGGGGTGTGCAGGAGGCAGCTGGTCAATGTTTCTCTCTCATCAATGTTTCTAGCTCTCTATCTCTCCCCTTTCCTCTCTGTGGAAAAATCAATAAAACATATTTAAAAAAAAAAAAAAAAAGAATGGATGTTTAGTCTATTCCTGGTGATAACTGGATGATACAATATGGGGAATTTTAGGATAATTCCTGGAAAGACTCATGTTGTGGCACTACATGCCAGGTCCAGAGTTTTGGTGTTATATAGGTGCACGCCTGCCTGTTTTTGTGGAACTAATGAGGTGATCTATTGGAATGGGATAGCATACATCACTGTCACCTGGGCTTGAAAATCTATACTATCTTGGGAAAGGAAGAAGAGTAAGAGAGGTGAGTTAGAATGTTGAAAAGAGGGTGATTAGGAACATCTCCTCATCTTCATGGTGTATATGTGTTGTCTTTGAAGCTGTGACTCTGGGAATGAAGCTGTCTGAGAGAAGGGTGATACAAAGAATTAAGTGGAATTAAGTGGAACAGGTAACACCCTAGGATTGGAATCAAAATGATGACCAGTGATTCGATGTTTTTTGTTTTTTGTTTTTAATATATTTTATTAATTTTCCACCGAGAGGAAGGGAGAGGGAGAGAGAGTTAGAAACATTGATGAGAGAGAAACATCGACCAGCTGCCTCCTGCACACCCCCTAACTGGGGATGTGCCCGCAACCAAGGTATAAGCCCTTGAACGGAATCGAACCTGGGAACCCCCCAGTCCGCAGGCTGACGCTCTCTCCACTGAGCCAAACCGGTCTCTGTGAGTGATGCAATGTTTTTCGGGGACTTGGGAGGAGAATGTTTTGTACAATGAGCTTATCACTCTACTTGATAGGTGTCAACTCACTCATATTTCTCTTTATGGCCAACATTAATCGGTACCCTGTGTTGGTGACACCCATTGCGTTGACCCTAAGTGTGAGGCCCTGAGGTCAGGTATAATCATTGTGGGCATCTGTTCTATTGCTGTGGAAGACACAGTCTCAGTAGAAATATAACGGGAGAGTGACTCTGGTGGATGCAAGGTCTGCTATTTTCTGTGATGTGGGGAGTGGAGGGAGCAGATGGATATGGAGAGTGGGAAGTATGACAAAAGAAAAGCCTAGGAGAGAAGCTGATCAATGACTGAACTGTCCCCATTACTACAGGACATGTACTTTGAGGACGTGGCCATTGCCTTCTCCCAGGAGGAATGGGAGCTCCTGGATGAGGCTCAGAGACTTCTGTACTGCGACGTGATGCTGGAAGTGTTTGCACTGGTCTCATCTGTAGGTAAGAGCTTCATATTGTCCCTGTGTCCTGAAGTGATGTCCTTTTTTTCCTTTGTTCTCAAACTATATCTTTCTCTCTCCCACAGCCAGACCCCGGGTTCTGCTAATTTTTTGCCTCTGTCTTGTCAAATGCACTTTGCTGAGCTGTGTGGAGAGCCCTGACCAATGGACTCTAGGAACATCCCTAACCCCTATTGCCTCAAAAAATGCAGAAAGTGTCTGGGAATTGGGAGTCTTACAGGCAGCTTAATGGGTCCCATCTTCCTCTTCCTCCCCCTGGGAGGGTGACAATACCCTCATTTATTTCCTTCTTCCCTCTTCCTCTAGGGAAAGGTGCTTTATGACAGCCTCTGCCAGGTTATGTTCTTCACTTACATGATCCATGGTCTATTCCTGCAAGACCCTTCTTCAATTATAAACAATTGAAGAAGGGTCTTGCAAGAATAAGCAATATTATAAACCATATTACCTTAGCTGAGTACTATTGCAGGCCAAATTGCTCTGGGACAAAGCAAACTGCCCTCCTTCGTTGTCTTTCATTAATACTTGGAGTACTTACAGTATTTATTTACTGCATCAGTACAGTAGAAGATTCAGGGAGAAACCTGGTTTGCTCATAAGGTGAACATGCAGGATGGTTTCAGAGGAGGTCTGGCCATGCTGAGTGACAACGGAGGGAAGGTATGACATAATGGTGGTAGCCAGATGGTATCAGGAACCACCTAATTTCCAACAGTAATTAGCGGCAGGTGCTACTGGCTGCAACCCATTTCTGCCTTCTTTTCCCCATACTTGACACGTTGCTGACCTGCATTTTATTGGTCACTTCCTGGTGTCTGGCTGCCCGTCACCTTTGTCACCTTTTTGCATCAACTGTTCCTCTGCACTGCTCCCTCTGCAGTATTCTCCTACATGGACTTGCACATATGCTATGAGGTGCTCATGCATGCTTAAGTATAGTCCTCAAATACCTGATAATTCATTTATTGAATTTCACTTGGAATAAGATATAGTCAACCTTATGCACAGCTTTCCCCCATCATCAGCAGATCAGCTCTGCTGAGCACCGTTAGCAGAAGACTGAGCTGGAGATGCATCTTCTCTCCCACGCGGTCCTTGCCATGTGTCTGTGTCATACTTCTGGTGAGGTCTTCCCTGTTTTGTGACCTTCAGAGGCCGAGACCTTCACAGAAGCTTCTTATTAATCCTTCCTGCGCATCTCTTATTTTCAGATAAGTGCATAGAACCCGTGTATTATGTGCAAAACACTCGAGCAATGCGACTTCCCCTGTCACCACAGGGAACCATCACTTCCTCCCCATTTCTCTGATTTCAGGTTGCTGGCACAAAACGGATGATGAGGAGGTCTGTCCCGAGCAGAGTGTATCTGTACAAGAAGAGTCACAGGTCATGGCTTCTACGACAGCACCAGCAACCCAGAGGACTCATCTGTGTAAGCGGTGTGTCTCTGTGTTAAAGGACATTCTGCACCTGACTGAGTCACAAACTGGAGACTTTGAGCAGAAAGCCTTCTTCCGTGATGCACGTGTGAGAGACTTCTGTTTCAGTGCAAACCCTCACCAGCAACACAGAGATGCCAGTGGAGAGAAACCCTGGAAAGAAGCTGTGGACGGGGCCTCGTTTGTGACCAGCTGCACCTTCTCCTTACCTTGGGTGCCTTCAACTAATTGGGAGGTTGGGGAAGACTTCCCAGCCATCCCAGACCTTCTCCAGCACCAGGCCCCTCTCAGCACCGAGGAGCCACACAGTGGCAGTGAGATTTCACAGGAATATCTCGTTGGAGAAAGTGTTCACCAGACTTGTAACTATGAAATATTTGGCAGCCACAACCAGGGATTTGTTCAGCATTCCAGTGCCTGCTCTGGAGCAGCGAAATATGAGTGTGACAGAGGTGGGGACGTTTTTAGACAAAACTTTCACCTCATTCAGCACAGAATAACTCACACTGGAGAAAAGCCCTATAAGTGTGCTGATTGTGGGAAGTCCTTTGGACAAAGGTCCAACCTCATTTCACACCACAGAGTTCACACTGGAGAAAAGCCCTATGAGTGTTCCGATTGTGGGAAATCTTTTACGAGAAATAACAACCTCCTTAACCACAAGAAAGTTCACACTGGAGAAAAACCCTATGAGTGTGCTGATTGTGGGAGATGTTTTAGGACAAATAATAACCTCCTAAACCACAAGACAGTTCACACTGGAGAAAAACCCTATGAGTGTACTGATTGTGGGAAATCTTTCAGGAGAAATAATAACCTCCTTAACCACAAGACAGTTCACACTGGAGAAAAACCCTATGAGTGTACTGATTGTGGGAAATCTTTTAGGAACAATAGTACGCTCCTTAACCACAAGGCAGTTCACACTGGAGAAAAGCCATATGAGTGTACTGATTGTGGGAAGTTTTTCAGGAGAAGGCTTCACCTCTTGGAACACATGAGGATTCACACTGGTGAAAAATCTTTTGAATGTAGTGTTTGTGGGAAGTTCTTTAGACTAAAGGGGCACCTCATTAAACACCACAGAGTTCATACCGGAGAAAAGCCGTATGAGTGTAGTGATTGTGGAAAGTCCTTCAGACAAAGACGCTCGCTCATGGACCACCACAGAAGTCACACTGGAGATAAGCCATATGAGTGTGGTGATTGTGGCAAGTCCTTCAGACAAAGACGCTCACTCCTGGACCACCACAGAAGCCACACTGGAGAAAGGCCTCATGAGTGTACTAAATGTGGGAAACGTTTTAGCAGCAAACCTAGCCTTGTTAGACATCTGAGAATTCACATTGGAGAAAAGCCTTAACTGTGTGGGGCATGGTTTATCTTTCTCACTCGACAACTCTGAAGGAGACTTAAATCCATTCACCTTTTATCTGAACATACACTGTGAGGAATTCCTCATAAGTGTGAGGTACAAGTGAGGCTTGAAGGAGCTGCATTGCACTTGCTATATCTTCCATGGACTCCACCCCATTGGTGTCACTGTGAAGTGTTTGTGGCTGAAGTGACCTCCTCCACCACCTGGCTCATCTGAACGGTGTGCATCAGTCACCGTCTCTGGTGCTCGGGGAAAGGAATTCTGTGTTCTCCCTGGTGCTTAAGTGAATACTCTGAGCACTTGGCAAGATCCTCATTCCTTACTCTCTGCCTGAGAAATGGACCTGACCCAGGTTTTATCCAGAGCCCCGTTCTCAGCCAAGAAGAGCTGCCTCTTTCAAGGACATTGTGGTGGTCACCTGCTGCTCTGGTGAATTCCTGCAAACTGATGGCTGTCGTTTTTGTGATTGTGATTTTGCTTTTGTGCCTTTAATTTTGTTGGTTCTATTCACCGCCTGGGTTGATTTGAAAACACAGTTTTGATGTGTCGGCATGTAGAGTTAACAGATATTGGGGGGATCTCAAACTTTCTGTGCTTCAGAAAGGATGGCTTGATGGCAGAAAATCCTTCTTTGTCCAATTTTCTTTGCTTTACTGCCCCAGGCTTGAAATAAAGACCATAGGACTTTGTGGGTTTGATCCCAGTCCACCATTTTGTCTGGATTGGGAGGCATCCAGTCATTGTGTTTCTCTCATCCCACTCTCAAAAAAAAAAAGACTGCCCTAACCAGTTTGGCTCAGTGGATAGAGCATCGGCCTGCGGACTGAAGGGTCCCAGGTTCGATTCCAGTCAAGGGCATGTACCTTGGTTCGGGGTACATCCCCAATAGGGGGTGTGCAGGAGGCAGCTAATCAATGTTTCTCATCAATGTTTCTAACTCTCCCCTCCTCTCTGTAGAAAAAAATATATATATATATTTTAAAAATAAATTTTAAAAAAAAGACCATCCACCCTTCTTCCCTAAGTTGGGCTCAGCCTGCACAGCCCACCTTTCCTCACTCTCCTGCCGTTGCCCAGGATGTTCCCCCTGCAGCTGGGCACTCTGTGTCCTGCCAGGAGCTGGCAGAGAGGAGCCCGAGGCAGGCCCCTGGGAGGGATTGGGGCTCTGTGCCCGCGTGAGAGGAGCTGTTAGGGCTCTTCTGTCTCCATGCAGAGGTCTCTCCCCCGGCTCTCCCCGTCCCCAGGCCCCTGGCCCTCTGCACCTGAACCTGCTTTCTCTGGGAGAAGCCCCCTGATGCTTGGGCCCCAAATCAGTTCACCTCAGGAAACGTTTACCTGTAGCAAGACCACACACCCCCCTGAGGTCCACTGGTGTACTTTGAGTCTATTTTTGCATTTTTGTTGTAATTTTCTACTTTGATTTTATTAAACACTAGAGGCCCGGTGCATGAAAATTCATGTACGGGGGTGGGGGTTGGGGTGGTCACTCAGCCCGACCTGGCCCCCTCACAGTCCAGGAGCCCTCACAGGATGTCTTACTGGCAGCTTAGGCTGGCATCTCTGCGGGAGGCGCCTGGCTGATCAGGTATATACTTTCTGGAGGCAGCACGGACTTCTTCCTTATTCCCTCTGTGGTTGGAGGACAGCGGACTAAGAGGTAGAGACAGAACTGTGGCCGGGCCTGGGGCTTTGGTAGGCAGCAAAGATGGGGAGAGGGCTGGGGAACGAGCGTCGGCCTGTGGACTGAAGGGTCCCAGGTTCGATTCCAGACGGGCAGACTCTAGACACATTTCCTTCGATTGCTCCTGGTTGGATGCTGAACAGCAGAGCTGGGTATGTTTTTCTCAAATTTAATTGTAAAAGCAATTAAGTCCCACTTGTAAGGTACACTTTTAAGGTAATCTGCCTTGCTAACAATCTACTTTTTTTTTTTTTTTTTTTAATTTTCAGCCATCATGTACTGTAGGCTTGATCATCACTCTATATTCTTTTTTAATAAATTTTTATTGATTTCAGATAGGAAAGGAGAGGGAGAGAGAAACATCAATGATGAAAGAATCATTGATCAGCCGCCTCCTGCCTGCCCCCTACTGGGATCAAGCCCCAACCTGGGCATATGCCCAGCCAGGAATGGCACCAGTGATCTCTTGGTTCATGGGTCCACTGCCGCCCATTGAACCACACCTGCTGGGTGCACTATTGTTTTCAACTTTTGAGCAATTACAGATGCCCCCATTTCCCTCTTCTCTGCTCCTACTACCCTGCCTCCATTGCTTGTAGGAGCTCACCACATTATTGTCTATGTCCAAGAGCTGTGCATATGTGTATATACTTTGTAACATATTGATTTTTAGAGAGGGAGAGAGAAATAGAAACATCAGTGATGAGAGAGAATCATTGTTTGGCTGCCTCCTGCATGCCCCCCACTGGGGATTGAGCCCCCAACCCAGGCATGCGTCCGTGGCCAGAACTGAACCTGGGACCTTTCAGTCCACAGGCTGACGTTGTATCCACTGAGCCAAACCGGCTAGGGCTGTACATACTTTAAATACATACATATATATGTTGACTTTGGACAGAGGAAAAGCACAAGAGAGAAGCATCAATAATGAGAATCACTGATTACCTGCCTCCTGCAAGCCCCCTCCGCAGTGGGAATTGAACACCTAACCCACGTCTGTGCTATGAGCAGGAATAGAATCCTGACCTCCTGGATATTAGGTTGATGCTCACCTTCTCAGCCCCACAAGCTGGGCTATCTTCTTTTGAAATATTTTTTTAAATATGTATTTTTTGTTGTTGATAATGTTACAGATGTCTCCCATTTCCCCCATGTATATGTTCTTTGGAGGATCTCTCCCAGTCCTCCCCCGCCTCACCCCTGGGAGGTCCGTCGGTCTGTCCCAGGTCACCAGGCCTCTGGGCCCATCTCCTCCCTCCCCAGCTCCACTGGCAGCGCCACACACCTTGTTCCTCAGATTCCTGGGCTGGAAAGCTAGCCCTAATCCGCGCGGCGTGGAAAACTACATTTCCCAGAAATCAATGCGCCTACGCAAGTGGCAATAAACGGTCTCCGCATCGGGTTAGGGCGGGACTTCCGGTGTCCTCTTCCTGGCGGACATTTTGACTTTTTCGAACTGTCCGTGTACCCGCGGGATACTGAGCGCCGCTCGCCAGGAGGAGGAGGCGTGGGGGGCGGCGTCCCGCCGGGCAGGGTGTCTGAGGCGGGGGGACCCCCACCCGGCGGGACTGGGTCCCCGGGCCCCCGCCTCCTCCCGCGGACACAGCGGCCCCGGCGGCCCTCCCGCCTCGGGGCGGCGCCGCTCAGGCCGCAGCCCAGGCCGCCGCCCGGAGCAGTGAGTGCCCGTGGGGGCCGCAGGGGCGGGCGGGGCCCGGGAGGCCGGGGCGGAGGGGGGCGGCCGGCCTGTGTGTCTAAAGGGACCGGGGCTTCCGGGAGGAGCCTGTCCTCCTCAGGGCCGGGCTGGCTGTGCGCACAGAGGGACGGAGCCCGAGGGGGCGGCGGCCCCGGGGCTGGGCCAGGCCCCGAGCAGCCTGGGCCCCGGGTCCTGGCGGGGGAGCCGGGCCCTCGGCGCCTTCCGCTCCCACAGGCCCTGCGGTCAGAGCCGCTCAGGGGCCGGGCTGTGGGCTGAGGTCAGGGCCTCCCACTGCGGGGGCCTCAGGCTGTGGGGCCTGGGCTGTCCAGCCGCTCCTCCTGCCCCGGGACCTGCAGACCCTCAGCCCAGGGTCCTGAGGCCACGGCTGGGGCTGGAGGGAGTGGGCCCTGGTTTGGGCACCGGGTGGGTGAGATGTGGGAGGGCCTCCCAGGCACAGGGACCGGGATGTGCAAAGGCTGGGGTGATGACTGAGCTGGCTCAGGAGCCATCATATATATATGAGAATAGACATATATGTGTATATATACGTACATACAGATGTATATGTGTATATACACGTGTCTGTTTTCATATAAATATGTGTGTATGTATATATTTTTTAATTGATTTTAAATATAGAAAGGAAGGGGGAGGGAGAGAGACAGACAGTGATGAGCAAGAAACAAGCATCTGCTTGCTGCCTGCACAGGCCATTGTATGGATCCAGCCCACCACCCAGGCAGGTGCCTGGACCAGGACTGGAACCTGCCACCTCTCTGCGCATGGCTCGGTGCTCAACCAACTCGGTCACGTCAGCCAGGGCTGTAGATCACTGTAATACCGGGAATCATGGTCAGGATGGTAATGTCTCAGCTCACAGGGACGGTGTGAGTTGGGGACTGGTTTCCTGCTGGGGCCCCCGTTTGAGGGAGGAGGGTGTCACAGCAAAGGAACAGAGGTGGTCATGTAGAGTGTCCGGAGAGAGAATGGTTTCCCAGCGGCCAAGGCCTTTACTTATTATTATTTTTAAATATATACATTTTATTGATTATTCACAGAGAGGAAGGGAGAGGGATAGAGAGTTAGAAACATCCATGAGAGAGAAACATCGATCAGCTGCCTCTTGCACACCCCTACTGGGGATGCGCCCGCAACCAAGGTACATACCCTTGACCGGAATCGAACCTAGGACCCTTCAGTTTGCAGGCCGATGGTCTATCCACTGAGCCAAACCTGGTTCGCGCCTTTACTTATTTTTATTTTATTGACTTCAGAAAGGAAGAGAGAAAGAAACATTAATGATGAGAGAATCGTTAATATGCTGCCTCCTGCACATCCCACACTAGGAGAGGAGCCTGCAACCTGGACATGTGCCCTTGATGGCAGTCAGGCCCAGGACCCTTCAACCTGCAGGCCGATGTCTATCCACTGAGTCAAACCAGTTAGGGCAGCTTAGACTCCTGAGTGGTCACCTGGGAGACGCACTGGGCTTGGTGCAGAGGGCCACCGGGGCCGGGACTGGAGTGACGGGCTGTGCCTGGTGAAGGGACATCAAGTGCAGCACCAGGGGAGGGCGCTCTGGGTGTCTGAGATCTGATGTGGTTCCCAGTAGGTGAGGTTGAAGGAAAAAACAGTAATGGAGGGCAGGACTCAGAGCTGCCTCTATGAGGGTGGACTCTCAGGGTCCGCGCAGGACTGGGTCCTGTTTGAAGTTGGCGAGCATTCTCCGGACCACACCTGCTGAGTAATGAGGAAGGACATGCCTGTGGGGGCCGGGCTGTGGGAGTGCAGGAGAGAGAGAGAGAGAGGTGTGGGAGAGAGTGATGTGCACGTGAGAGGGAGCGAGAATTCATGGCCACGGGGCCCTGGCATTGACAGGAGAGTGGATGAAGGCTGAGTCCGTTTCGGTGGGATCCGGATCGTACAATAAGGGGGATTTTATTTTATTTATTTATTTATTTATTTATTTATTTATTTATTAAATATATATTTTATTGATTTTTCACGGAGAGGAAGAGAGAGATAGAGAGTTAGAAACATCGATGAGAGAATCATCGATCAGCTGCCTCTTGCACACCCCCTACTGGGGATGTGCCCGCAACCAAGGTACATGCCCTTGCCCGGAATCGAACCCGGGACCTTTCAGTCCGCAGGCCGACGCTCTATCCACTGAGCCAAACCAGTCCCGGCCAATAAGGGGAATTTTAGAATAATTTCCTGAAAAGAGGGGTGCTGTGTGCCAGTTCCAGAGCTCAGATGTCATGTGTGCAAACGTGCCTGTTGCTGTTGAGGGATGACACAGCAGTGAGACCGCATACAGCGGTGTAGCCTGGGCTTGCATATCTGCCGGCACGGGGAAGGGAGATGAGAGAGAGATACACTACAGAGGGGATCAGTCAGTTTTGGAAAAGATGGTGATTAGGAAGTAAAGCCGTCCCTGTCACCCCGTATGGGTGCTCCCTGTGAAGTGGTGCCTCTGGGATCGAAGCATGTGGGACACGTGTGGTTCAGAGAGGTGTGTGCAGCAGGTGGTGCAAAGGGATGGCCTCGCAAACTGGAACTCGGGTTGAAAAGGTGAATCAGGGGCATAGGTGAATCGCCCATCGACTCCTCCTCCTCCTCTTCCTCTTCCCCCTCCTCCTCTTCCTCCCTTTCCTTCTCCCTCCCCCTATTGCTCCTCCCCCTCCTTCTTCTCCTCTTCCCCCCCCCCCTCCTCCTCCTCCTCCACCATGATTTTAGTGTCCTTGAGGTACAATCTGGGGGACTAAAGGGTATTGCCTGACAGGGCCATTGTCAGGTCACTCACACTCTCTTTATGGCCAACATCCCTCCCGCCCTGTGTTTGTGACACCCACTGCTATTGACCAGGGGCCGGCAGTGTGGCACATGGGCGTCCCAGAGCACAGGTGCCATCTCTGTGCCCGTCTGCCCTTACTGTTGCGGGAAGACACAGTGTCAGTGGGAATGAAAGGGCAGAGTGACTTTGGTGGACAGAGGCCTGGTATCTTCTCTGATGTGGGGAGTAGAGGAGCAGATGGCGTGGAGGGTGGGGAGAGTGAAAGACTCGGAATCTTAGGAGAGAAGCTGAACTGTCCCCTTTACCACAGGAGATGGACTTTGAGGACGTGGCCGTCGCCTTCTCCCAGGAGGAGTGGGGGCTCCTGGATGAGGCTCAGAGACTCCTGTACTGCGAGGTGATGCTGGAAGTGTTTGCACTAGTCTCATCTGCAGGTAAGACCTGCCCCTGCCGAAACCGGTTTGGCTTAGTGGTAGAGCGTCGGTCTGTGGACTGGAGGATCCCGGGTTCGATTCCGGTCAAGGGCATGTACCTTGGTTGCGGGCACATCCCTGGGGGGGCGGGGGGGTTGTGCAGGAGGCAGCTGGTCGATGTTTCTCTCTCATTGACGTTTCTAGCTCTCTAACTCTCTCCCTTCCTCTCTGTAAAAAATCAATAAAATACATTAAAAAAAAAAAAAAAAGACCTGCCCCTCCTCCCAGTGTCCTGAGGTGACGCCCCCTTTTCTCTTTATCCTCCAGATGTAGCTTTCCCCCACTGTCAGGCCAAAGCAGGGGCTCTGCTCATCCCCCCCACATTCCTGTTAACTGGGCCGTGGCTGCCAGTGATGAGCCATGTGGAGTGTCCGTGCAGTGGACCCCACAAACATCCATAACACAAGTTGTTCAAAAGCTGCAGGAAGCACTAACTGGTTTGGCTCAGTGGATAGAGCATCAGCCTGCAGACTGAAGGGTCCCGGGTTCAACTCCAGTCAAGGGCAAGTACCTTGGTTGTGAGCGCATCCCCAGTAGGGGGTGTGCAGGAGGCAGCTGATTGATGTTTCTCTCTCATCGATGTTTCTAACTCTCCATCCCTCTTCCTTCCTCTCTGTAAAAAAATATCGATAAAATATATTTATTTTTATTTATTTATTTTCTTTTTTATATATATATATTTTATTGATTTTTTACAGAGAGGAAGGAAGAGGGATAGAGAGTTAGAAACATCGATGAGAAACATCGATCACCTGCCTCCTGCACACCCCCTACTGGGGATGTGCCCGCAACCAAGGTACATGCCTTTGACCCGAGTCGAACCCAGGATCTTTCAGTCCGCAGGCCAATGCTCTATCCACTGAGCCAAACCAGTTTCGGCAAAATGCATTTATTTTTAAAAAGTACAGGAAGTGCCTGGGAGTCAGGAGTCTTGCAGGTAGCCCCCTGGGTGCATCTTGCCCCACCTCTTCACGATACAGTGATTGTGTCCACTCAGTGGCTTCCACTTCCGCCCCTTCCTCCAGCAAAGAGCTCTTTGTGACAGCCTGTGCCAGGGCGTGGTCTTTACTTGCATGAACCCTGGCTGTTCTTATAAGACCCTCCCTCATTGGGATACGACCTTACCAACCTCATTAACAGCTTGCCCCGTTCATCCCCAGACAAGCCCTACTGAGTGCTGTTAGCAGAAGACTTAGCTGGAGATCTGGCTTCTCTTCCATGAGGTGCTTGCCATCTTTGTGTCATATTTCTGGGGAGGTCTTTTCTGTATTGTAATCTTCAGAGGCCCAGACCTTCACAGCAGCTTCTTATTAACCCTTCCCGCACGCCTCTTATTTTCAGAAAGTTGCATGGAATCCATGTATTATGTGCAAAACACTTTTCTAATCGGATTTCCCCATGTCACCAAAACCAACATTCATTTACTCAGCATTTCTCTATTTTCAGGCTGTTGGCATAAAACAGATGATGAAGAGGAGTGTTCTGAGCAGAGTGTATCTGTACAAGGGGAGTCACAGGTCATGGCTTCTCAGGCAGCTCCAGCAACCCAGAGGACTCATCTGTGTAAGCGGTGTTTCTCTGTGTTAAAAGCTGTTCTGCACCTGACTGACTTAGAGCAGAAAGCCTTCTTCAGTGACACATGTGTGAGAGACTTCTGTTTCAGTGCCAACCCTCACCAGCAACACCGACATGCCAGTGGAGAGAAGCCCTGGAAGGAAGCTGTGGACTAGGCCTCATTTGTGACCAGGTGCAGCTTCTATTTGTCAGGGATGTCTTCAATCAGAATGGAGGTTGGGAAAGACTTCCCAGACATCTCACAGCTTCTCCGGCACCAGGCCCCTCTCAACACTGAGGAAGCACACAGTGGCAGTGAGACTTCACAGGAATTTCTCAGTGGAAAAAGTCATCACCATTGGAGTGAAGGTGAAAAAGCTGCAGGCCACAACCAGGAATCTGTACAACATCTGGCTGTCTGTTCTGGAGAAAATACTTATGAGTGTAACACATGTGGGAAAGTTTTTAGCCGTATCTGTAATCTCAATCGACATAGAAGCGTTCACGCCGGAGAAAATCCATATGAGGATAGTGATTGTGAGAAGGCTTTCGGTCAAAGCTCTTACCTCCATCAACGCAAGAGGATTTACACCGGTGAGAAACCTTTTGTATGCAGTGATTGTGGCAAGTGCTTCAGAGAAAAGTTAACCTTTGTTAAACACTACAGAATTCACACTGGAGAAAAGCCGTATGAGTGTACTGATTGTGGGAAGTCCTTCAGGCAGTCCTCGGCTCTCACATATCATCAAAGAGGTCACAGTAGAGAAAACTCTTATGAGTGTAGTGACTGTGGGAAGCTCTTCCATCAAAGGTCTTGCTTTACTATCCACCTTAGACTTCACAGTGGACAAAAGCCCTATGAGTGTACTGATTGTGGAAAGTCCTTCAGTCAAAGCTGTCATCTCACCCAGCACCAGAGAGTTCACACTGGTGAAAAACCTTTTGATTGCAGTGATTGTGGGAAGTCCTTTAGGCAGAAGTTTACCCTCATTCAACACCACAGAGTTCATACTGGAGAAAAGCCGTATGAGTGTACCGACTGTGGAAAGTCCTTCAGGCATGGCAATTCACTTACCCTACACAGGAGACATCACACTGGCGAGAAGCCTTATGAGTGTAGTGAATGTGGAAAATCTTTCCGGAGCAGCAGTCACCTCCTTTACCACAAGAGAACTCACACAGGAGAAAAGCCGTATGAGTGCAGTGATTGTGGGAAGTCCTTCAGCCAAAGATCCAAGCTCATGGACCACCACAGAAGTCACACTGGAGAAAGGCCTCATGAGTGCAGTGAATGTGGGAAAAGTTTTCGCTACAAACCTAGCCTTATCAGACATCTGAGAGCTCACACTGGAGGAAGTCCTTAACTGTGCAGGGGATGGTTTATCTTTCTCTCTACAGCACTGAAGGAGACTAAAACCCATTTACCTGAATACAAACACCTCTGGTCTGAACATACACTGTGGGGAATTCCTCATAAGTGTGAGGTACAAGTGAGGCTTGAAGGAGCTGCATTGCACCTGCTGTCTTCCATGGACTCCACCTCATTGGTGTCACTGTGAGGATTTGTGGCTGAAGTGACCTCCTCCACCACCTGGCTCAGCTGAACAGTGTGCATCAGTCACCACCCCTGGTGCTCGGGGAAAGGAATTCTGTGTTCTCCCTGGTGCTTGAGAAATTTTTGAATACGCTGGGCTCTTGGCGGGATCTTCATTCCTTTTTCTCTAAGTAGAGATTGCACCTGACCCAGGATTTGCCCAAAGCCCCCATTCTCAGCCAAGAAGTCCTACCTTTCAGGGGCATTGTGGGTCTCCCCTTTTGCTGTCACGAGTTGCTTCAGCTTCTCACTCACCAGCCTGCAAACCGCTTGCTGTGCACGGCTCTGGACGGTGCCGTTTCTGTAGCAGCGTTTTTGCTTTTGTACCTTTAGTCCTGGTGGTCCTGGTCGCCGCCTGGGGTGGTTTGCAAGCACAGTTGTGGCCTGTCAGCACGTAGAGTTACCAGATACCGTGGGGATCCCACGCTCTCTGTGCTACAGGAGGGACACAGAAAGGCAGGAAATCACTCTTTTTCCAATACTGACTTAGTTTGCATTACTGCCCAAGGCCTTGAAATAAAGACAGGGTGACTTTGCGGTTCTTTCATGCAGGTTTCACCCCACGTCTGCTAGTGTGGGAGGCATCCAGTCATTGTGTTTCTCTCTCTCTCTTTCCTGTCTCATCTTTTCCCTCCCTACCTTACATTTTTATTTTAAAAAAAGAAAAAAGGGACATCCATCCTGAATCATTAAGATGGGGTGTCAGCCTGCACAGCCCACCTTCCCTTATTGTTTCCTGCCGTTGCCCGGGATGTTCCCCCTGCAGGTGGGCACGCTGTGTCCTGCCCAGGAGCTCGCAGAGAGGAGCCAGCGGCAGGCCCCTGGGAGGGATTGGGGCTCTGTGTCCGCCTGAGAGGAGCTTCCAGGGCTCTTCTGTCTCCATGCAGAGGTCTCTCCCCAGCTCTCCCCGTCCCCTGCCCCTCGCCCGCTGACACTGAACCTGCTTTCTCTGGAGAAGAAGCCCCCTGATGCTTGGGCCCCAAATCAGTTAATCTTTGGAAAGTCCTGCCCCTGGCCAGCCCACACTCACACCTGAGGCCCACTGGTGGTGTCTCTGTTTTTGCATTTTGGGGTTATTTTCTGCTTTGATTTTATTAAAAATAAGTATCCCCTTCAACAACCCCCAGTGCCCAGCAGTCCTGGAGGTGCCGTGGACTCTCCATGAAATTGTACCGTGTGTTGTCAATGGTCAAATCATTCTGCAATACAAGCATTTCCAGAAGGAGAGGCTTGGCCTCAACATGATGCCACATTGGGGGAGGGTGGTTGTGGTTGGTGTGCCACCTCCCTACATCCGGCCTGAAGAGCAGAGCCCCCTGCCGTGAGGGGATGGAGCCTGGACTCGGGGACAGTGTGCTCTGGGGTGTGTGGCTGATGGCGCAGAGGTTGGGGGCCGTGGACAGGGCTGGCGAGGTGTTTGCCGTCAGCACGTGGGTGGGAAGGCTGAGGCGAGGCTCTGGGGATGAGAACCTGAATCAGGCTGGATTGTGGGGCAGCAGCCACGGCGGCACAGCCGAGACCTGTACGGACCTAGAGTGTGGACACTGTTGGGCTGGACTTTTCCAGAATCTGGAGGTACAGAGTTTCTTGCCCCTGGGAACTGGCGTTCTAGTGGAGGGCAGCCCACAAACAACGGGGTAGGGTAGTGAGGGCAGGTGACAGGAGCTCAGGGGGGAGGGGAAGCCTGGGGTGGTCAGTGGGGTGGCCCTGAGGAAGTCCATTTAGGAGCTGAAGGGAGTTCACCTTGCCTGGTTTGGACAACGAGGATCAGAAAGTGGTCCTGCCTGGGTGGTGGGCTCTGTGGGAGGACCTGACCTTCCTCTCAGGAGGCCTCACAGTTTGCGTACAGCCCCAGGCTGCATTCTGAGGGGCTGATGTGTGGAACCTTCAGCGAAATCCCTGCCCAGCCAAAACCGTATTGGCTCAGTGGTAGAGCATCGGTCTGCGGACTGAAAGGTCCCGGGTTCGATTCTGGTCAAGGGCAAGTACCTTGGTTGTAGGCACATCCCCAGTGGGGGGTGTGCAGGAGGCAGCTGATAAATGTTTCTCTCATTGATATTTCTGGCGCTCTGTCTCTCTTCCTCTCTGTGAAAAATCAATAAAATATATATATTTTAAAATTATTAAAAAAAAAAAAAAAGAGGGGCGGCCTATTTTCCACTCAGAAATCAAAGCCCACCTATTCAGAAATCAAAGCCCACCTATTCTACTTCCCAGGCACCTCGAAGCTGAGCTTTAATCTGTTCACACAATGAGCCCTTTTTCCCAATGGACTACATTTCCCAGAAAGCCCAGAGTGTAGAGGCAGCAACGCTGTAGGAAGAGACTACATTTCCCAGAATGCAGAGCTGGAATGGCAGCATCACTGTGGGGAAGGACTACAATTCCCAGAATGCCCAGCGTGGAATGGCAGCACCGCCATCCAATAAGAACGTAGGGAAGAGGGAGTCCTGCGGATGACGCATTGCGAGAGAGCGGTACTTCCGGCTACTGCATTGGCGGCCACGTTAGCGGCTCCGTGTTTTGTAGGAGATTCCGGAGGGCTCGGTCCGGGTGCGGGTGCCGGTCCACAGGCGGCGGGAGCCGTTCTCCCCGCCGCACGGATGCGGGTGTGAGGCTGAGGGACCCGCCCGCAGGTCCGATGGCGGCGGCCGCGCCCCGGCGCCCGGCTGAGTTGAGCGCGTCCCGCCTCCCGCCCGGCCCCGGCCGCGTCAGGCCCGGAGGCGCTGGGGGCCGGGGGGCCGGGCCGGGCGCCGGCTGCGGGGGTCAGCGGGGCCGGGGAGGCCGGGCCGCGGGGCCCCAGGACCGCGTGTCTCCGGGCGGCCCCTCCCCGGACCCCGGACCCCGGCCCGCGGCTGCGGAAGGGCTGGCGGGACCCCAGGGAAGGGGAGGTGACCCTGGCCCCGGCCCCCACCCTCACAGCCACTGGAATGTCTTTTCTCGGATTTGACCAGGGGATTATGGTCAGATTAATGCGCAAGAAACACAGCCAATTTTTTAAAATATATATTTTACTGATTTTTTTCACAGACGAAGAGAGAGGAAAGGGAGTGAGAGTTAGAAACATCGATGGGACAGAATCATAGATCAGCTGCCTCCTGCACATCCCCTACTGGGGATGCGCCCGCAACCAAGGTACATGCCCTTGACCGGAATCGAACCCAGGACCCTTCAGTCCACAGGCCCACGCTCTATCCACTGAGCCAAACCGGTTGCGGCTACATTCAATTTTTAATGACGAAACAGTCAGTATTCTTGTTTATTAATTTAGCCTTGATTTTTTTTAAAATATATTTTAATGATTTTTTTTTACAGAGAGGAAGGGAGAGGGATAGAGAGTCAGAAACATCGATCAGCTGCCTCCTGCACATCCCCACTGGGGATGTGTCCACAACCAAGGTACATGCCCTTGACCGGAATCGAACCTGGGACCTTTCATTCCGCAGGCTGATGCACTATCCACTGAGCCACACTGGTTTTGGCTGTCCCTTTTTTGTGATTGGAGCACAGGCGGACAGTCTTTCCCTCCTGGGTAATTCAAAGGGAAACGTTGGCCTTTGCCATTTCAAGAAGACGGCCACCAGGGGGACTGCAAGCCATGTGGCCAACATGGCGGCAGGCAAGTCATGTGGTCCAAAATGGCGGCCTTCTAAACTGTTCTTTGACAGAAAAGATGATTTGTTTATTCTCACACAGGGCATGGTGACCTTTAAGGATGTGGCCCTGTCCTTCTCCTCGGAGGAATGGGAGCTCCTGGATGAGGCTCAGAGACGCCTGTACCACGATGTGATGCTGGAGAACCTGACACTGATAACCTCCTTGGGTGAGGATTTCAAACACACATCCACCCCCATACCCCCCCCATTTCATGGGCAGTAACGTCTGCCCTTCCCTTTTCCCCCAGTAGCAGGTCTGTCCTCACACCAGGACTATGGTACTGATTTCTTCCCCAGACCCCTGGGTAGGTGCTGTGCTTAGACCCCTGAAGAGCTGCTCTGCTTATACACCTGTATAGGTGCTGTACTTAGTGGGATTGAGGTCTGTGACTGGCCCTCTCCTTCCTTGAAGAGCCCCAGAGTTGCAGGAAAGAATCAGGGCAGGAATCTTACAGTGAACCCATGCACCTGACTTGCTTCTCCTTGTCGAAATGACTTTGTTCAGATCTTAGGCCCTTGTGTAACTAGGTTCTTCTGCCTCCGCCTAGTAGCATTGTCTCAGGCCTGCCGGGGCCAGGAATCCCCATCACTGGTATGGTTCCTCCTCCCAGGGACTGTGGGCTATTCTTGCAAGACCCTCCTTCCAAGTTCTCTGGGTAGTATTTGGTTTTTCTGTTGGCTGTGATGAGCTGAATTGTTCTGGGTTGGTGCTGGTTACTCGTGTGTGCTGTCCTTCTCTTAGTATCTGTATAAGGTGCCATGCATTTGCTCACTGAGGGAGTTGGGTTGGATTAGAAAGAGGTGTTTCATGGGATGTACATGAAGCCAGGCTCAGCAAAATGTTAGGAGTGGCACCTGGAAGCGGCTGCAATGCCAGGGCTGTGTTCAACTCACACCAGACACCTACTGTGTTGGACTAGTGTTTTGATCCCATGCCTGGGGCTACATTTCATTTCTGCCTGTCTATCCCCTTCCCTGAAACTTGCACCGATTTCTCAGCTCTATCACTTATCACTTCTACTCTCACCTCCAGCCTCACATCTCTGCACTGTGTGTGTCTAGCCTGTTTTTCTCACCACGCCATCTGAGGTGCTTTCCTCATTGGCCCCTATGCATCGTGTCCTGAGGTGTGTGCATATTTCTAAAAGTCCTGAATGCCAGCTGCCAGGTTATTTAGTGAGGTTCTTTAGCGAAGTCGTTGTTGAAGTGAACAGGGGACCCTGTGTCTGCTCTCTGTGTACACTGCCTGGTTGGGTCCTTCACCTCATGAGGCCTCCCCCAGTCTGTGCTCCTCATGGCCCAGTACTGGAGCAGCCCCATCCTCAGTGTGTGCTCACTCCCTGGTCCTGCACATAATGCCATGGACTCGTTCCTGGATGTGTCAGGCACACGAGAGAGGACTGCCCCTTCCCTCCAGAGGCAACATGCACTTAACCAGCACTTTTCACTTTCAGGTTGTAGGCATGGAGCCCAGAATGAGGAGGCCCCTTGTGAGCTCAGAAATTCTTTACAAGGAGTGTCAGAGGTCAGGACTCCCCCGGAGGCCCATCCTTGTGAGCTGTGTGGTGTGGACGTGGGAGACATTTTGCACTTCACTGAGCACCCGGGAACGCATCCTGGGCAGAAGCTGTACCAGATGGGGGCATGTGAGGAACAGTTGGATGTGAGCACAGAACGTGAGCATCAGAAGCAGCTCACAGGAGAGATGTGCTTCAGAGGCCACGTGGAGAGAGCCTCATTGGTAAAGGACTGCAAATTCTGTGTGCCGGGGAAGCCCGGTTCCTGTGAGGAGGTTTTGACGGACTTCCTGGCCAGCTCAGGATTTCTCCAGCATCAGGCCCCACACACCAGGGAGAAGTCAAACAGGGGAGCTGAGTGTGCTGCAGACTCCCACAACGGAAAATCTCTCTCTGATTCAGAATACTCTAAAGATTTTAATTGCAAATGCAAGCTTGTTCAAGACCGGAGACTCCTCACCCGAGAAAGATGCCACATGAGCAATGAATGTGGAAAGTCGTATGGCAAAAGCTACAGTCTTAATGACCATTGGAGAGTTCACACTGGGGAAAAGCCTTATGAGTGTGGGGAATGTGGGAAGTCCTTTAAGCAAAACTCTAGCCTCATTCAACACCGGAGAGTTCACCCTGGAGTGCGGTCTCACAATTGTGAGTTATGTGGAAAATTATTTAGCAAAAAGTCCAACCTCATTAAACATGGAAGAATCCACACTGGAGAAAAGCCTTATGAGTGCGGGGAATGTGGGAAGTCCTTTAGCCAAAGCTCTGCACTCCTTCAACACCGGAGAGTTCACACAGGAGAGAGGCCTTATCTGTGCAGTGAATGTGGGAAGTTCTTTACCTACCACTCCAATCTCATAAAACACCAGAAAGTTCACTCTGGATCCAGGCCCTATGCCTGCAGCGAATGTGGGAAATGTTTTAGCCAAAGCTCTGTGCTTCTTGAGCATCAGAGAATTCACACTGGAGAAAGGCCTTATGAGTGCAGTGAATGTGGAAAATTCTTCACTTACAAATCTAGTTTCTTAAAACACCAGAGAGTTCACACTGGGGAAAGGCCGTATGAGTGCAGTGAATGTGGGAAATTTTTTTCTTGCAGCTCTAGTCTCATTAAACACATACGAATTCACACTGGAGAAAGGCCTTATGAGTGTAACCAGTGTGGGAAATCTTTTAGACAAAGCTTTGTGCTTTCTCAGCATCGGAGAATTCACACTGGAGAAAGGCCTTACCAGTGCAGTGAATGTGGGAAATTTTTTACTTACAGCATTAGTCTCTTAAAACACCAGATCTCACACCAGAGAAAGGCCTTATGAGTGTAGCAGGGGTCCTCAAACTTTTTAAAGTGGGGGCCAGATCACGGTCCCTCAGAGAGCTGGAGGGCCGGACTATATGAACTACTAATTCCTACTGTAACACCTCGGCTGCGCTCACTGCCCAAAAAACCTGGCGGGCTGGATCAGACTCCTCTGCGGGCCGCATGTGGCCCGCGGGCCGTAGTTTGAAGATGCCTGGTGAATGTGGAAATCTCTTAGGCATAGTTCGAGCCTCATTAAACATCAGAGATTTTCCTTCGGTAAATAGAGCCTCAGACTGTAGACTGAAGGGTCCCAGGTTCAATTCTGGTCAGGGGCACATGCTTGGGTTACAGGCTTGATCCCTAATATGGGGATCTTCTCTCTCTCCCTCTCCCTCTCTCCCTCCATCCCTCCCCCAATCAATGTATTTTCCGGCGTATAAGGCGACCCCCTAATTTTACAGTTAAAACATAGGTTTAGGCCTATTTTCGCTGTAGAAGACTACCCCCCACTTCTGAGGCAACACCAGTTCTTTTTTTAATAGACCGCCTCTCTGACTCTGGCCAACCTGAGCAGGCTTTTTACTAGAACACAGTGTAGCTTCAGGTACAGAACATGTACACAGTGTTCTAGTAAAAAGCCTGTTTTAACCGTAAAATTAGGGGGTCGTCTTATACGCCGGAAAATACGGTAATATTTCACTCCTTTTCCCTTTCGCCCTGGAATCAATTTTAAAAAATTGAAGATTTCACACTGCATAAAGGCCTTTTGACTAAGCAAAGTAATTTTATCTCCAATTCCAGCACCTAAAACACCATGTCACATTGGATGAAGACCTGAGTGTGGCAAGTGCGGGAAATTGTTTGCCAAAATTTAGTATTTTATCCAGAGAATTCACATTGGATAAAGACCTTATGAGAGGAGGGGATATGAGACCTTCAGCCAAAGGAACTTACGTTATTGAATACCAAAATATTTTATTTTTAAATATGTTTTATTGATTTTTTACAGAGAGGAAGGGAGAGAGATAGAGAGCTAGAAATGTCAATGAGAGAGAAACATCGACCAGCTGCCTCTTTCACACCCCCTACCGGGGATGTGCCCGCAACCAACGTACAAGCCCCTGACCGGAATCGAACCCGGGACCTTTCAGTCTGCAGACCGACGCTCTACCACTGAACCAAACCGGTTTCTGCTCAAAATAATTTTTTTTTTTTTTAAGTATTTGGTGCCATCTTTATCTTAATTGTAAAAATAATGTATTGATTTTAGAGAGAAACATCAATGTGAGAGAATAGCAACTGAGAAACTGGCATCCCCTGGTTGCATGGGATGACACCCAACCAACTGAGGCACATCAGCCAGGCCACCACAGATCTGAAATGGGAGAACTGCCTTAACGTCACAGGCATATGCTATTTCTTTGTTCAATATACCAGAACTGGAAGAGATCCCTTATGAAGGTCCCATTTGCCTATATTCATCTGAGCTACAAATTCCAGTGTGGGAGCTACATTGCACTTTTTAACCTGCCCAGGGCCATGGCCAGATTTATATCACTTGGCACTTCTGTTGCAGAAGCCATTTCAACTCTACCTCATGGCTGGAGCCCGTAGTGTGGAACATTTATCCATCCCAGAATGTCCTGGCAAGTGCGTCCCAGTGTTCTCTCATTGGTGGGACAATTCATGAGTTGGTTGAGCACTTACTCTTTATATCATATATCATTTTTTTTTACAGAGAGGAAGGGAGAGGGATACAGTGTTAGAAACAGATCAGCTGCCTCCTGCAAACTCCCCACTGGGGATGTGCCCGCAACCAAGGTACCATTATCAAACCTAGGACCCTTGCGTCCTCAGGCTGATGTTCTGCTCTGTCCACTGACCAAAAATGGTTAGGGCTGAGCACTTACTCTTACCCATTTTTTTTTTTTTTTTCTGGTAAGTTAAGTCATGGGCTTTACCCAGTTTTGACTTAGAGGACTCTGTTGGGCATATTTAAAAGCTGGACTACATTTTTCTTTTTCTTTTTTCTTTTTTTAAAATATATTTTATTGATTTTGTACAGAGAAGAAGGGAGAAAGATACAGAGCTAGAAACATTGATGAGAGAGTCATCCACCAGCTGCCTCTTGCACACCCCCTACTGGGATATGCCCGAAACCAAGGTACGTGCCCTTGACCGGAATCGAACCTGGGTCCCTTCAGTCCCCAAGCCTACGCTCTATCCATTGAGCCAAACCGGTCTCGGCGATGGACTACATTTTTCAAAGATACTGTTGGCCTCATATGACTCCAGTGATATCATTTTTCAGACTTGAAGTCACCAACCTGGGAATTGTGCCTACCATTGCTCTTTTGTGTATGACAATAAAGGTCTTATTGTTCAAGCCACTGTTCATCTTGAGGTTCCAGTTACCTTTTTGGGTGCTTTGAAGTTGACTGGTTTGCTAGCACAAAGGGGTGAACAGCTTTGATTGGAATCCGGACTCTGTGTACCTCTGGGTTCAGTGTGATGGCAGAAGATGCGTCTTCCGTTTTGGCCTAGTTTGCGTTGCTGCTCGTAGCCTGTAGGGAAGACTGGGGAGCTTTGTGGCTTGGATGCCATGGCTTGGGGGTTCTGAGTTCAACCTGAGAAGGGGGACCTTGTGACAACCTTCACTGCTTCTGAGAGCAACATGAGCTTGTTCTCCTTCACAGGGCCATTGTCGCGTGCCCAGCACTGGTGAGGGGGCGTCTGTCCCTGCAGGTCCTGCCATGGAGCTGTGGGCCCTGAGGTCCTGACTTCTGTAGGTGCCATCACTGGTTTTAAGATCACAGGGGCCATGAGAAGGATCATTGTTGCAGAAACTCTGGATTCAGGGAGAGTGCAGAAGACTGCCACAAAGTGGTTAGCATGCTCTATTGATTTATTTCATTTTATTTTTCAAATATATATTTTTGTTGGCTTTATTTCAGAGGGGAAGGGAGGAGAGAGAGAAACATCAATGTTGAGAGAGAATCATTGATTGGCTGCCCTATTGGAGGTCAAGCATGTGCCCTGACTGAGAATCCAACCAAGACCTGGTTCATAGGTGACACTCTAACGACTGAGCCACACGAATCAGGCTCCTACACACTTTCCAATCTTCCAAGATGTATGAATCGCACATGTAAAACGGGCATCAACAGTTTCTCGTTTAAGACTGAATTTTTAAGAAATAAATGACAATACACTTTTATTTCTTCAACAACGATTTATCGGTCCTTGGACACGTGTCAGTCACATTCTAGGTTCCCGTGACTTTGGTGAACAGAACAGAAATTCCTGTCCCCCTTAACCTGAAATTTTAGTGGGGGAGACCATGAGTGGAAAGTATAATTGAGACTATATAAAGCATGTTCTAAATTAGGGGTGTCGAACTCAATCAGAGAAGGGGCCAAAATCTAAAATCCAGCCTAAATCGCGGGCCGAATGGTTTACTGAACAGTCATAAACTGTCATTGTGATGGAAACGCAGCGGAGTGCAGTGATGACAGCGCGGTGCGAGCCACATTGCAAGGCCTGGCGGGACGGATTTGGCCCGAGGGCCTTGTCTTTGACACATGTGTTCTAAATAGAGAAGTCCTATGGGGATAGGAGGTCACAGTTCAATTCCGGGCCAGGGCACATGCCATTGGTATCCTGCAAGAGGCAGCTTATCAGTGATTCTCATCACTGATGCTTCTCTCTCTTTCTCTCTCTCTCTCTCTCTCTCTCTCTCTCTCTCTCTCTCTCTCTCCCTCCCTCTTCCTCCTCCTCCCCCTCTCCCCTTCCCTCTCCTTCCCTGAAATCAATAAAAATATTAAATAAAATAGATATATCTACACACACACACACACACACTACAGGGAGGGAGTTCGGGCGTGGAGTCCCTGGCGTGGAGGTGCACCCGCAGGGGGCGGTATTTGATGGAGGAGAAGTCTCACCTCCACCTGGATCCTCTGGTGCACGCGCAGGGCCTGGAAGAAGCCCTTGTGGCACTCGGCGCAGACGCAGGGCCGCTCGTTGTTGTGTCTCCTCTCGTGGAGCAGGAAGTGTGAGAAGTTCCAGGGACACCGGTCACAGGAGTACAGCTTCCGGGTGGCGGTGCTGGGGCTTCCGCCCTCCGGCTTCTGGTTCTCCTCCAGGATCTCCTCTCTGGTGTCCTCCAGCCTCTCCTCCCTGGTCTCCTCCATGATCTCCTCCAGGAGCTCCAGGGTCTCCTCCATGGTGTCCTCCAGGGTCTCCTCCAGGATGTCCTCTCTGGTCTCCTCCATGGTCTCCTCCAGGAGCTCCAGGGTCTCCTCCCTGATCTCCTCCCTGGTCTCCTCTCTGGTCTCCTCTCTGGTCTCCTCCGGAGTCTCCTCCAGGGTCTCCTCCAGCATCTCCTCCCTGGTGTCCTCCATGGTCTCCTCCAGGAGCTCCAGGGTCTCCTCCAGGATGTCCTCCCTGGTCTCCTCCAGCGTCTCCTCCATGGTGTCCTCCATGGTCTCCTCCAAGATCTCCTCCAGGGTCTCCTCTTGGGTGGAGGCGCCCGGACTGGCTGCCCTGGGGCTGCGTGGACTCTCCCAGGACGCGGCGCCCTCTGTGGGCCCCGGGAGGCTCTCTCCCTGGAGGAAGAGCAGGGAGGGGGGCCGGTGGTCTTCCCTGTCAGCGCCGCATCCACACGGCCACGGAACCCTTGGTGGGAACCCTCCCCGCTCCCCTCCAGCTTTCCCACGAGCCCAGCACGGCCGGTCCTGCCCTTTCTGAGGGAGGAAGCGGCTCCTTCTGTCTTTTCTCACCCTGAAGGTTTCTGCTCCGTCGTGAATGCCTTTTATTTTTATTTTTTTAATGATTCTCTCTCATCGACGTTTCTAACTCTATCCCTCTATCTTGCTCTCTGTAAAAAAAAATCAATAAAGTATATTAAAAGAAAAAAGAGAAGAAGAAGAAGGTGAAGGTGCTGAAGCTGCTGACACCAAATCAGCATGACCCCAAGAGCAAGGCCCCGGGGACAAGAGCTAACAGGGAGGGGACTCCCCCCCTCCGCAGGCTCAGCCGGTCCGGTCCGGTCCTGAGCCTCAGAGGCTGTGACAGACTGAGGAGGGTCTTGAGCCTCAGAGGCTGTGACAGACCGAGGAGGGTCCGGGCCCCTGGGCCCGGGAGCAGTAGCTGCCGCCACACCTGCCCCCGTCCGGCCAGCCCCCTGTGAGGCAGCTCCTCGGTCCTTCCCCCGAGGTGTGCGCGGGCCTCTGCCTCCAGCGTCCTGCTCGCAGGCAGAGAGCAGGGCTTGGCTGTGAGGCTGCTTCCTGCCAGGCCGGGCCGGCTCCGTTCCCATCCTCCTCGGTGGCCTGAGCCTGCTTCTCCCCTCGGTAACTATTTACGATGTCTTCCTGTGGCTCAGAGACTGTGTCCTCAGCCTCAGTGGGGCTGATGGACGAGACCCTCCCTCCGACTCTAAGTTCTACCGTGTTTCCCCAGGAATAAGACATCCTCCGAAAATAAGACCCACTTACGGGTTTCCTTCTGAGTGAAATATAAGGCACCCCCCCGAAAATAAGCCCCCCCCCCAGGCTAAACATGAGAGATTTGGTCCACTGATTCTGAAAGAAATGGAGTCACAAGAAATTCACCAGGAAATTCAGGAATTGGATTGTGATGAGGATGTTCCAGAAAATGATATATGATTGTCATTGAATAAATGAGTAAATTCTTGATACTGTAGGGTTCTCAGTTTTTCTGGTTTGTATTGACAACTACCGTACTACCGTACCGTATACAGGTAATAAATTTCCTTTATTTTCATTTAACAATCAATGTGTACTATATTCTACTTCGCGGAAAAATAAGACATCCCCTGGAAATAAGACCAAGCGCATCTTTGGGAGCAAAAATGAACAGAAGACACTGTCTTATTTTCGGGGAAACAGGGTAGCAGGTGCTTCCCTGGTTCCTTGCTCTGTGGGGGCCTCGCAGGACAGGGCTGCACTTGCCGCACTGGGGAGGGGGGCCCTAAGCTGAGGCTCCCCCCAGGGCCTCTGGGGGCAGGCTGGGTGGCAGCTCCCTGGTGGACGGAGGGGTCTGCTTCCTGTAGGTGCTGATCCCGGTGCTAACACACTGGAGTCAGAGGCCCACGGAGGCTCCCCCGCCCCCAGGGGGTGAGGGGCCCATCCCTGCGTGTGGCCATCACCACTCTGCCTCCTCACACTCCTGCTGCTTGTTCTTCCCGGACTTGTTCCCACCAGAGGACTGAGGCCACTCCCCCTGGGAGGAGCGGGGCCGGGCCTCCTCCCAGGGGCTGTGCCAGCAGCTCTTGGTCTTAGCTCTGCTGCCATCAGCGGGTCTGGGACGGCCAGGCCCTTCCTCAGCACCCCTCTGGGGAAGATGGCACTGTGTTATCATAGACCCTCCCTTCCTCCAGGTGATGGACAGACGTAAACCCCACCTGCAGCAGACATTCCTGAGCTCTGAACCACCCATCAGCACCTGCCAAATACCCTAGGCCCCGGACTCCTGAGTCCCTAGGTCCCTAATCACCAACCAGCGTGTGCCGAGTGCCCTAAGCCCCGCCCCCTATCCTTAAAGGTGCTTGTACCCCGGCCCTTGCCCTCTTCTGCCCTTCTCCATGGAAGCAGCCGGCAGGAGTATCCCTCCCTCCAATAAAGCCCGTGTCCTGCCATCCAGTCTCCGGTCTGCCTTCTTTATTTGTTTATTTATTTATTTATTTTTAAATATATTTTATTGATTTTGTATAAGAGAGCAAGGGAGAGAGATAGAAACATCGATGAGAGAGAGTCATCGATCAGCTGACTCCTGCACACCCCCTACTGGGGAGGTGCCTGCAACCAAGGTACGTGCCCTTGACCGGAATCGAACCCGGGACCCTTCAATCCCCAAGCCGACGCTCTATCCATTGAGCCACACCGGTTTCGGCTACCTTCTCTATTTAATCTATCATATTGCGCCCACAATGAACGGAGACCTCCTCGCTGCAGTGCCCGCAGCCTGGGTGCGGTGCCCTGGCCAGGTCTGCCTTCCTTCAGGCCTCCAGGCGCCAGGCCTCGCTGTGCCCAGGAGGCGTGGAGGGGCTGTGGCCTCACTGCCCGCCCCGGGGCGGGACGCCCTGGCAGCCCCCTTCCTCCCGTGCCCTCTACTCCAGGGCCTTTCAGGGGCCCGGATGCACGGGCCGGGCTGGGGAACCTGAGGTGGCTCCGTGTCAGGAGATTCCGGTGGTTGGGACGCGTGGGAACATGCCGTGTTGTCAGATCTTTCCATTTTCCAAAAGAAGCTAGAAATCCTAAATAAATAAATAAATAAATAAATAAGTAAATAAATGAATAAATAAAATAAAAATAAAGCGGAGGCAAAGCCGGCCTAGTCCACTCCCCATGCACCTGACAACTGAGCTGGAGGGTTTTTTTTGCCTTTTCCCCCTGCCTTTACTGCCTCCGAGGTGAGGGACTACATTTCCCAGAAAGACCAGAGTGAAGTGGCAGCATCGTTGTGGGGACTACATTTCCCAGAAAGACCAGAGTGAAGTGGCAGCATCGCTGTGGGGACTACATTTCCCAGAAAGCCCAGAATGAAGAGGCAGCATCGCTGTGGGGAAGGGACTACATTTCCCAGAATGCACAGCGTGGAGTGGCAACACCGCCATCCAATAAGAAGGTAGGGAAGAGGGGCTTCTGCGGGTGACGCATTGCGAGAGGGCGGTACTTCCGGCTACTGCTCTGGCGGCCCCGTTCGTCCCTGTGGGGTTTATCGGCCGGAGGTTCGGAGCGCTCGGTCCGGTCCGGGTCCGGGTGCCGGTTCCGAAGGCGGCGGGAGCCTCTCCCCGCCGCACGGACGCGAGCGTGAGGCTCGGCGGCCCCGCGAGGGACCCGCTTCGGGGCGGGAGGTGCCGCCCCGCCCGCAGGTCCGATGGCGGCGGCCGCGCCCCGGCGCCCGGCTGAGGTGAGCGCGTCCCGCCTCCCGCCCCGGCCCCCGCCCCGCCGCCCGGCCGGTCAGGCCCGGAGGCGCGGGGACCGGTCAGGCCTGGAGGCGCGGGGGCCAGGGGCCGGCGGCGGGGCCGGGGAGGCCGAGCCCCGGGGCCCCCTGAAGCCTGGTAGCCATCGCCTCAGGCAGACACTGCAGGTTTTTGTTTTGTTTTTTTATATATATATATATATATATTTTTTAATATATTTTATTGATTTTTTTACAGAGAGGAAGGGAGAGAGATAGAGAGCTAGAAACGTCAATGAGAGAGAAACATCGACCAGCTGCCTCTTGCACGCCCCCCCCACTGGGGATGTGCCCGCAACCCAGGTACATGCCCCTGACCGGAATCGAACCCGGGACCTTTCAGTCCGCAGACCGACGCTCTACCACTGAGCCAAACCGGTTTCGGCTGTTTTTTTATATTTTATTGATTTTTTAGAGAGAGGAAGGGAGAGGGACAGAGAGTTAGAAATATCGATGAGAGAGAATCATTGATCAGCTGCCTCCTGCACGCCCCCCACTGGGGATGAGCCCGCAACCAAGGCACATGCCCCTGACCGGAATCGAACCCGGGACCCTTCAGTCCGCAGGCCGACGCTCCATCCACTGGGCAACACCGGCCAGGGGGACACTGCAGCTTTAACCCTCATTTTAACCCTGCTGTTTGGCTCCTGTTCTCATTGGCTAAAACAATAGGAAATTTATTTTGATTTTCTGAACTCATGGCTGCTGCCCCAGTCGACTGAACCCTCCATGGATGGTGGTTTGTGTGTCCCATGATGGTGACCTCACTGTCACAGAAGCACATTCTTCTGTACCTGGGACCCAGCACAGCTCAGTGACCCTGAACTGTCTCAGCGGCTGCAGAGAGCGCGTTCCTGTGGACTCAGTGGTCCCGGGACCTGGATTCGCCATCGTCCTAAAGAGCCCCGTGGGCTGGCCGCAGGCCGTGTGGCTCTCCGGGCAGAACTGAGCTGAGTGTTTAGGGAGCTTCCGGTCTCTCCTCCTGGGGAACCAAGGGCCCAGGCGGGACCCTGTTCTCTTTGAGCCCGTGAGGCCACAGTGGCTCCAGGACGGGGATTGTCCTTTGAGTTGGGCGATTGGAGGAGGACAGGCACAGGGTGGGTGTGGGGGGAACAGAGGGGAGGACTGTGGGTTCTCATTAGAGGAGCCTTTTCTGGCTTCATCTGTCCCGATCCTACTGCCCGGTGTTGGGAATAAGGGGAGGCCCCAATTCAAAGGACCTGGTAGAACACAAAACAAACTCAGGAGCCAGGCGGTGGCAAACATCTTAATTCTGCACGTGATCCGGAAGCACATGCTCACAGAGCACGTGCCCTGCTCAGATTCAAAACACCTGATGCCCCTGACCTGCCCTTTACTCTCGATTGGAGCTCAGGCCCCCAGTCTTTCCCTGTTGGCTAATTCAAAGGGGAAAGTTGGCCTTTGCCATTTCAAAAAGGTGGCCCCTGGGGGGCACTGCAAGCCGTGTGGCCAACATGGCGGCTGCCAAGTCCCACAGTCCCACATGGCGGCTGTCTAAAATGTTCTTCGACAGCGAAAACCGGTGTGGCTCAGTGGATAGAGCGTCAGCCTGCGGACTGAAAGGTCCCAGGTTCTATTCCGGTCAAGGGCATGTACCTTGGTTGCGGGCACATCCCCAGCGGGAAGGGGGGTGTGTGTGTAGGAGGCAGTTGATCGATAATTCTCCCTCTCTAACTCTCTATCCCTTCCTCTTCCTCTCTGTAAAAAAAAAAATCAATAAAAAATATTAAAATAAAATAAAATGTTCTTTGACAGAAAGGATTTGTTTATTCTCACACAGGGCAGGGTGACCTTTGAGGACGTGATCCTGTATTTCTCCTCGGAGGAATGGGAGCTCCTGGATGAGGCTCAGAGACGTCTGTACCACGATGTGATGCTGGAGAACCTGACACTGATAACCTCCTTGGGTGAGGATTTCAAATCCCCCTCCTCCACCCATGCTGTGGGCACTAATGTCTGCCCTTCCCTTTCCCCCTGTAGCAGGTCTCTCCTCAAACCAGGACCATGTTACTGCTTTCTTCCCCAGACCCCTGGATAGGTGCTGTGCTTAGTCCCCTGGGTAGGAGCTGTGCTTAGTGGGGTTGGGATCTGGGCATGGCCCTCTCCTTTCTTGAAGAGCCCCAGAGTTGCAGGGAAGGAATCAGGCCAGGAGTCTTCCAGTGAACCCATACGCCTGACTTGTGTCTCCTTGACAAAATGACTTTGTTCAGACCCCAGGCCCGGTGTGCCAGCTCCTGTGCCTCCCGCTAGCGGACATTGCCTCAGGCCGGCCTGGGCCAGGAGTCCCCATGGCTGACAGGGTCCCCTCCCGTGTGCTGTGGGCTGGTCTTGCGGGACCCTGTTCTCTGTGTGGTGTTTGGTTTTCTTTTCTGTTGGCAGTGATGTGCCGAGTTGTTCTGGGCTGGTGCTGGCTACTCATGTGTGCTGTCCTTGCATTTGCTCACTGAGGGAGTTGGGTTGGGTTAGAAAGAGGTGTTTCATAGGATGTACATGAATCCAGGCTCAGCAAAATGTTAGGAGTGGCAGAACATGTGATGCCAGTGCTGTGTTCTACTTATAGCAGACACCTACTGTGTTGGACTAGTGTTGTTTTTTCATAATATATTTTATTGATTTTAGAAAGAGAGGAAGGGAGAGGGATAGAGAGAACCAGCGATGAGAAACATTGATCAGTTTCCTCCTGCACACTCCCTATTGGGGATGTGCCCGAAACCAAGGTACATGCCCTTGCCTAGAATCGAACCCAGGACCCTTCATTCCCTGGGCCGACGCTCTATCCACTGAGCCAAACTGGTCAGGGTTGGACTACTGTTTTGATCCCATGCCTGGGGCTACATTTCATTTCTGTCTGTCTATCCCCTTCCCTGAAACTTGCACCAATTTTTCACCTCTGTCACTTATCACTTCTACTCTCACCTCCAGCCTCACATCTCTGCACTGTGTGTGTCTAGCCTGTTTTTCTCACCACGCCATCTGTGGTGCTTTCCTCGTCGGCCCCTATGCATTGTGTCCTGAGGTGTGTGCATATTTCTAAAAGTTCTGAATAGCAGCTGCCCTGTTATAGTTGTATTGTCTTGTGCCTTAACACACCCGTCTGCACAGCTTTTGTGTGACACCAGTAGCGAGGTTCTGAAGGGAAACCGTTGTTGAAGTGAACTGGGGACCCTGTGTCTGCTCTCTGTGTACACTGCCTGGTTGGGTCCTTCACCTCATGAGGCCTCCCCCAGTCTGTGCTCCTCATGGCCCAGTACTGGAGCAGCCCCATCCTCAGCGTGTGCTCACTCCCTGGTCCTGCACACAATGCCATGGACTGTTCCTGGGTGTGTCAGACACACGAGAGAGGACTGCCCCTTCCCTCCAGAGGCAACATGCACTTAACCAGCACTTTTCACTTTCAGGTTGTAGGCATTTAGCTCAGAATGAGGAGGCCCCTTCTGAGCTCAGAAATTCTTTACAAGGAGTGTCAGAGGTCAGGACTCCCCCGGAGGCCCATCCTTGTGAGCTGTGTGGTGTGGACGTGGGAGACATTTTGCACTTCACTGGGCACCCAGGAACGCATCCTGGGCAGAAGCTGTACCAGATGGGGGCATGTGAGGAACAGTTGGATGTGAGCACAGAACGTGAGCATCAGAAGCAGCTCACAGGAGAGATGTGCTTCAGAGGCCATGTGGAGAGAGCCTCATTGGTAAAGGACTGCAAGTTCTGTGAGTCGGGGACATCCGGTTCCTGTGAGGAGGTTTTGATGGACTTCCTGGCCAGCTCAGGATTTCTCCAGCATCAGGCCCCACACCCCAGGGAGAAGTCAAACAGGGGAACAGAGTGTGCTGCAGACTCCCACAATGGAAAATCTCTGTCTGATTCAGAATATATGAAAGGTTTTAATTGCAAACGCAAGCTTGTTCAAGACCAGAGACTCCTCACCCGAGAAACTGGCCACTTGAGTAGTGAATGTGGAAAATCTTGTGGCAAAAGCTGTAGACTCGTTGACTATTGGAGACCTCACACTGAGGAAAAACCTTATGAGTGTGGGGAATGTGGGAAGTCCTTTAAGCAAAGCTCTAGCCTCATTCAACACCGGAGAGTTCACACTGGAGTGCGGCCTCACAAGTGTGAGTTATGTGGAAAATTATTTAGCAACAAGTCCAACCTCATTAAACATGGAAGAATCCACACTGGAGAAAGGCCTTATGAGTGTGGGGAATGTGGGAAGTCCTTTAGCCAAAGCTCTGCACTCCTTCAACACCGTAGTGTTCACACAGGAGAAAAGCCGTATGAGTGCAGTGAATGTGGTAAGTTCTTTACCTACAGCTCCAGTCTCCTAAAACACCAGAGAGTTCACTCTGGGTCCAGGCCCTATACCTGCAGTGAATGTGGAAAATCCTTTACTCTAAAGTCCCGCCTGATTGATCACTCCAGAGTTCATAGTGGAGAAAAGCCATATAAGTGCAGCGAATGTGGGAAATGTTTTAGCCAAAGCTCCGTGCTTCTTGAGCATCAGAGAATTCACACTGGAGAAAGGCCTTATGAGTGCAGTGAATGTGGGAAATTATTTACTCACAATTCTAGTTTCTTAAAACACCAGAGAGTTCACACTGGGGAAAGGCCTTATGAGTGCAGTGAATGTGGAAAATTCTTTACTTACAGCTATAGTCTCATCAAACACAAAAGAATTCAC